GTGTAAATTTATTTTACCTATGGAATAAATAATCTTTGACTTTGACTAACGTCATTCAAGTAATTAATAGATTCAGATATTACTTTGCGGAACATGGACAGTTAATAAAAATGGAAGTAAAATATATTGCTACTCCGCGAACCAACTGAAAGTTAAATCGTGCAAAATAGTTGCGCTTGTGTTGAATATTTTTTCATGCAGTTAATTTTCCCACATATACCCAAATATTGGGTATATTTTTGGTGGTGGTGCTTGTGACTGTAGCTGTACGTGTGATATTCATTTTAATAATTTTATGCAGAGGGAGGGTGGGAAAAATTAACTGCGTGCAAAAATATTCAATACAAGCGCAGTTATTTTGCACAATTTAACCTTCACGGAGTTCGCGGAGTAGCAAATTAATTTACTTCCATTTTTACTAACGTCATTCGTTCGCGTTATTAGGGTTGGGGCAACGCGTAAAGTCATCTGGACGAGAATTTTTCAACTGCACTGATTTTACAATTTTTTTTTTTTTTTTACTTACACACACTCAACATAGGCCTCGCACTAGGGAAACTCTGTGTCGCGGGTGCCATGGACACACTCATAGACAACCAAAAATTACACCCAAACTCACGACAGAAAAATGTAGGCCACACGCGTATTTCTCCCGGCCTGGGAATCGAACCCAGGACCTCAGCGTGGCAGTTCAGCATGGTAACCGTTCGGCCACGGAGGCAGTTATAGTAAATAAACTTCATGTATGTCGGTCATTCCGTTCCACCCGGTATGTAGACCTTTACACACGTCTATGTTATAGTTACGAGTTACCGGAGCTACATCACCTTTTGGTGTGAGAACATATTACTTAACATATGTAAAAAGAAACTACTCACTTGATTGAACTCTTTAACTGAGTCTGGTTCACCTTCGCCGTCACCTTCGTAATCTGAAAAAAGAACTGTTGAATGTTGGTACATCATTACTTCCAAATGTCTCGAAACATAGAGATACCTGCCAATCAGTTCAATTTTAGAATACTCATATCTACATTATCACGCCAAATTATTATTAGTCTTGAAAAAGACTAGATTGTAATTAGACATAAAGTTTTGTTTTTCTTTATAACAAATAAAAAAGCATTATCACGCAACAAGCGAAAATAAATTTGGTTCCCCCGTACAAAGAACAATGGTGAAATCATTGTTAAAAGATTTGTTTAGCGTCTTAAAATGTCATAATTACAAGTTTGAATAAAATAAACGCATGAAATGTTTCAAATTATCCTAATAAAATCATATTAAAACAAATTCAAATCACTATTTAGCTTGTAACCGTACTGATATCTACAACTGTCAGTTTCTTAACGTTGAGCGATATCTAGCTAAAAAAAGATTTTTTGTACCTACGTATGAATAGGTTATTGAGCATATAATATGCTCGCTGTGTTGAGTTAGTACGTAACACGTAATATCAAATGTACTGATTCGACTGATTTGCAATAGAAGATTAACTACTTTATTACAAAAATTTAGTAGGCAATTCCTTCTACAAATATGCCACGCGAGAAAGGGGTAAGACTGACAAAAAAGTTCCCGATATCAGGGATAGATAGCACGCTTCACGAAAAAGTAATTTGTGTCCGAGTTACCAGTTTGCAGTGAGCATAGTAACAAGTATAATATCATTGCCAGTATGTATTTCTTTTGTTAACCGACTTCATCATGTTTCAGCTAACGTAACTCTGCCATTATCTCGAAACATTCTTTCCGTTATAATCGTATTTCACAGGTAGGTTGGTAAAACCAATACCGCAATCTAAGGGAGACGCTGCCGCGGATCTGTAGGATTTATCGTTTTGCAGATTCTGCGATATTTACGAGAAGTTATAAACAAAAAGAGACTCAACGGACGAAAACTGAAAACAACGGACGAATTTACGCCCATTACGTTCGATAGTAACAAACTAAAATACATGCGCCTGTCACCCTGTGACATAAGGTGACAAGTCCCATGTGCCTGTAATTTCTTTCTTACCCTTCAAAACGGAACACAGTAATACTGACATACTGCTTGGCGGCGGAAATAGAAAGGTGGCAGTACTACCCTGGACGAACTCGTTCACAAGGAGTTCTACTCTACACATGGGATACGAATAAAAACAATATTTCCACTAGCCACGATTAAGCAACATACCATCAATCTTTCTCTTGACGCCGTGTGGTTGTGGCTGTGTCTGTATTTGAACTTGTTCACTTGTCAGATTACCGTTTTCGTTAGCTTCCTGTATCAAATAAACATTAATTAAGATAAAATGTAAAAAGAAACACGAATTTTACTTTGCGATTCCACCAATGTACTTCTTTCTGTAGAGTACTAGGATTGTATTGTGATAGGTCGAGAAGTTTTTGAAAAGTACATACAAACATTTATTGCGACCTAACAAAGAAGCTTATTTCTTTGGAGTAACTTAAATTATAACACACCTCAGCATCTGGCGCGTTTTGGTCATCGCCTCCGCTGGCACCACCGGCGACCTCGGCGACCTCAGGCTCCGGGTCTATCTCCACAATCTCTTCTTCCAGCGATACAGCAGACACGTTGTTGACTTCCACTACTAGACAAAAAAAGCAGTGATAACCTAGTTATTTAGGAGGAAATCGAGATTCTGCAACGAGCCTAAATTGAGTCTTTTCGAAACATGTTCACACTGATATGAAAACATCTTGAGAAAACCTGCATGTTCATGAAGTTGAAAACATATGTCAACGTGGTTGGACTATGGATCTAATAGGAGTGTATAATTAATTAAAATAGAAATTATTTATGAATGGTTACTCTATATTTTTTATCAAAATTAATATTTGGTGGTTTTAACAACTCCATGTGGCTCCTTGTAGCTATATATGTGCGACTGCCCAGTGTCCATAGTTGCGAGAATTAAAAATACCTACCAGTACTGCTTACTTATAAAAAAAAAGAAAATGGCAGTAACATTTAAACTAAAGTGTTTTGGTATTCTTTAGTTTTTTCGTCTTTTTTGGATTTTGGTCGCGAAAATGAGTGCTAGTGAAATAATAATAATAACGCACACACAACATAGCCCCGCACTAGGGAAACCCTGTGTTGCGGGCGCCACGGACACACACATAGACAACCACAAATTACACCCATACTCACGAGAGAAATAAATGTAGGCCATACACATATTTCTCCCGGCCTCGGAATCGAACCCAGGACCTCTGCGTGGCAGTCCGGCATGGTAACCGTTCGGCCACAGAGGCAGAAAAAAGCAATAACGAAAATACAGTAATAGATATACATTCAAACACATCATTTGAAGTTTAGCACACTACTATTAATGTGTCTGGAAAAAACAATAACATTTTCTTTTAGCAATTGTCCAAACACGTCAAATATTACTTTTAAAATTAATATAATATATATTTTTTACTTTTTCTAATATACATCTTCCTCTCTTTAGTCTTTTATTATTTCCTCACATTGTTTGAGGAAAATACTACATGCCTCGGCGGGAATAGCTTGAGTGGTATTAACACAAGGCCTCGTTGGCGCTCATCCTTGTAACTCATACTCGTCCAGCAATCCCTTACTTCCCGGCCTCTACAATAATGTGCTATACTTATTTTGCGTTTAATTGTGATCCACGATAATATATGAAAAGGCATAACCTTACAGGTATAAAATTTGCCTTCCCAAGTAAATAGGTAAACACTATTAAAAAAATATAGTGTACGAATATACCTACACCATGTATACTTAAAAAATGCAGTAAAATAAACGATAATACTTTGGAGTTCTTTGTTGTTTTTTATATGTTCTTCGCGAAAATGAGTTCTAGCGAGAAGAGGACTGTATTCCGTCTAATTTAAAACAAGAAGCAAAATTTGTCTTATAATATTAATCAATTTTTTTTTTTCTATTACACATTCTCCTTCATTCTTTAGTCTTTATTTACTCGTATTGTTTGAGAAAAGCTCTATATTGTACCTCGGCGAGAACGTGTATTGCCCGACTCGTATAATACTGATACGTACCTTCCGACACGTCAACTTCCTGTTCCTCGTTACTTTCGTTCCTTGTAGGTGGCGGGGACACAGTGGCCGAAGGCATGTCGACGTCTGAGGAAGCAAATCAAAGAATAAGTTACGAATACACTTCTAGGATATATAGTTGACTCAGGTCATGACGTCTATATGCATATGCAATAGTCTCTCAATTATTTAAGTGCAATTTATATTTATTCAGGCTATGCTACTGAATTCCCATTCACAAAACATTTATATTTATAGAATGTATGTATTATAAAATAAGTACCTAATATAGAATTTGATGACATGTTATTGCACAAGTCGACCTCAGCTTTAAATCAAAGTTCAATAAATACAATAGAGGCGCTAAGTTTGCGTGCCAACAGTTCGCGGAGTTCCGCAAACTTGAGCTTAGTCCGCCATTTTCGCTTCATAGGTTATTGTTGTGTCAATTATCTCGCGTAAAACCTCGGAAATCATAGAAAAATACCTTATTTCGCTACTTTGGAGTGCAAAAGTTATAGTTGCACATGTAATAATTATCTATGTAATATTTTATTTAATTTTAATCAATTTTCTGATTATCGTAATCATTTTTTTTTGTTACAAGAAACTAAAATAAACCTCATACCGCTGCAATATGGTCGCTTCTTATTTGGAGAACTAAATAAACACCTCGAATTCGTCGTCGTTTAGGTATAATAACCGCAAGATGGTCAGCACATTAATCGAAATTTCATATAAAACCAAAACGTCGTAACTTGTAATAATAGGTATTGATGGTATTGTTATCTTTTTCCGATTTGCTTCTCTTTTGGCGCTTAATTTTAAGCGCAAACCTTATATCCATTTTTTGGGTGACAATGGTAAATAACGCCATAAGTAAACAAGATGACGGTAGTCGTCGAAAGCAAAAAAAGGTAGACAGATATATATATCTGTTCTGAAAGCCCACATCTGCCGCTGGCCAGTTCAATTCGTGACGATGGAGTGTGGAACCGTTCCGGAATATCGGGAAAATACAAAGAAATCATACCGTGACAAGAAATCTGTAATTTGTAATAACTATGTAGTGAATAACCACTAAAGACTCAAAATCTATAATTTTTGATTCAGCACCTGTTCGTTATATAATTTTAACGTCCGGAGTTTTTTACTGTAGCAGACAGGATCAAGCTCCGTATTAAAAAGTTGAAACATACATAAGTATTAATATAAATTAAATTAATTTAGTTCCTGACAAAATTAAAATCGATTCGCCTCACCATCACAATCCGAATGGTCAATGTTAACAGGCTCGATGCCCGGAGCGGGCGCGGCAGTAGAAGCCAGACGCGGCCGCGGCCGCAGCACACCGCTCGACGAAGCCTGCGGATCGCCCAGTACTGCTTGGTTCAGCGTAGGACCTACCACAGTATACATGAATAGATATTACGTAAATTATTACCACTAGCTGCCTCCCAAAACTAAAACCTAACACGCGCCTTGTTATTATTCGGCTACGGGACTAATTAATTAACGGCCGTGAATTGTGTCATTGTTAATCACATGCTTTTTGTGTTTACAATAACATGAGTACTTCTTTTTATATTAGTATTGGACCCCATTGACCCTATGATTAAAATTGCAAGTGTTTACCAAGTCTGTCGACATTTCTGTCGGCGTCGGAGGCAGCGCGCAACTGCGCCCGGCGCCGCATCACGATGGCCGACACTTCTGCAAGCGTTAACCCGGGGTTTGTATGTATCGAGGATGAATCTCGACTCGGCCGGCCGTTGTCTGTTGAGACGTAATCTTAATCAGTTTCGTTCCCGAAATAAATTTATTGAACTGCTCTGATTATCTACTTGTATTATATTATAATGTGTAACTGTTGATTGATGATTGGGAGAACGCTTGCCTCCTATGTATGAGGTCCTGGATTCGATTTCCAACCGGGGCCTGTACCACTGGGTCATTTTCGAATCATGTGCGGTTTACTTTTTTGTAATTATCACTTGCAGTAATGTAACTTTCACGACGAAGCTCTTCGTAAAAGCGTGTACTCCCCAAATCCGCGCCTCGACTATCGTAGTGAACTACGGTGTAACCGTCTCCTGAGACCCGTGCCCAACAATGAACCGTATAAGTGTAAATTATCCGCCATCATCATTACGGTCTCCCATGATATTTCCAAGAAGCTGGAGAAGTAGACTGAATCTAAAATCGAATCAAGGCGAAGTTAATGGTTAAAAACTAAGCATTTTCTAACAACACTAAAAGTATTGTACTGAATTTGTAAGTTTTTTTATATATCTTTTATTTCAGTCTATCATCAGATATTCCATAGAGTGTGGGTACATAGCACATACCATTATATTTGGGTATTACCTATGAAACCGATCTTTTTTCTTATTTAGAAAAAAATTAAACTTACTACGTATAACCTGTATGCCATTATACAGGTTGCTAGTGGATTTGCTCGCACGATAGGCGCGGTTAAGGCGGCCGAAGGCAAGGATTCGCTGAACATCAGACGACGGGTTACTGTGCGCCGTGTTTGGACGATCGTTAGCCCGGCCGTCGGAAGAAGAATGGGACCGCGCCACGAGAGACAGTGGTACTTCTATTCTGGAACTAGATGATAAATGTTTGTCTAAGCTTAATTATAATTATCGATACAAAGTCAGTTATAAAATATGTGTAATAAGTTATAATATAAAATCAGTTACTATTATTAACACAACGATCGAACACTGAGAAAAAATCCTTCAACCTAGCTGGATTCGAACCAGCGCCTTCATAGCGTGCTCTCCCAATTGGGAGAACCGGATCGAAAGATTTTTTTTTGTGTATTAAATTATTAACATTAACAAACTAGTGAAGTAATTTCATAAAAAAAAATTAATATCGTGTCAGTAAAACATCGTGATATTTTAACAAACTTAATATTACGATAATTATATTGTAACCTAAGTGGTTTGTTAGTGAACTAACAAACCACTTAGGTTACAATATAATTATTCTGTAAAAATTTCATCTTTCAAAATTTCAATTTCGGTCTGAAGACCGAACCTAAGTTTTTTACAGAATGTAACACAAGATAAAGAACAATGTTAGCAAATAAATATATTATTGTAAAAAAAAAAGTTACGTCCCGATAACATTTTATGAAACACTGCAAGTTTTTGTTTCGCGAATCTACAAATTAATGGTGAATATGTTCATTATCAAGTGCATGTCCCCCACCTTTGTAACACATGATGTATCTATGTACGCCATGTAGAACCTAGCTAAATGAGTCTGTATGTACTTGCCAATATATTTAGTGACTCAAGTGGCAATTACTACTCAAGATGACTGTGGAATAATTTTGAAAATAAAAATAAAGGCAAGTCTAACATGAATAACTATTATTTCAGACATACACAAATCCAACTAAAATGCCTTGCACTATACTGTAGAGCTACTTACAAAACACTTCTCTATACACGTGTACTCATCCACGAAAGAGTTAAAGGGAATAATAGTAGTGACACAAGTAGCTTCAATTTATTCTAACGAGCAACAAATATTAGTTTCCACGCAATTCTTTTCCTCTATTTACTCGTACGTGCACGTTTTTAATTGCATTTTAACGTGACGTGAAAATTAAGGGAAATAAACACAAGGGAAACTTTAAAAACTTACAGTTTCTAATTTGGTGATTGCATTTTATTACAAGCCTTTTACGAGTTGTTTACTTACAGTGGCTTCCCTCTAGACCTTTTTTACTAAGTATATAACAAACAAAAAATGTGACTCTCATTCTCATCTGTTGATCTTAAAGTGTTGTATCTGCAATAACGACGACATGCGTGACACGTGGTTACAATGAGTCAAAAAGCTCATATAACATATTTTTTAAATTTTATTTTAAAATGGGTACAATTTTGTTAGCTCGATATATTCCTACAAATATAGTGTATATAAAGTGTGACTGTAAGATCCAAACGAGTCACAATAGAACAAATGGTTATTAACTGACGCTTAAATGGCTAAAATTTTATATTTAAAATAATTAGTAAGTAATTTAACAAGAATTTGTGTAATACTTTACCATTTCTTACAATCTGTTACGTTTTTTTTATTTACAATTTTGTCCAATAGCCTTTCTTTGACACGTTCCCTATGTAACTGAAATCAGAAATTGACCCCTCACATGCATTATATACATATATATATACTATCTATCTCTCTCTTTTTTCCCGGTTTTCAATTTTTGATTATTGGGTATTTTACATTTGATTGTTGTTTTGTTTTTATTACGATGAGCGATATATGCAAGTCAATGATAGACTTTTCTAACTTGTAATAACAACAATAATAAATACTTTTGTGTTTTATTTCGACAGTGATAATCTGGCAACATTGGTTAAAAAGTCACCCAGTACCACATGCTAATTAATAAATTAATAAAAATAAATTTTTGTGGTTCATACATGCAAATAATAAATAATCATCTTTATTAGATGATCCAGCTTACACGTGCAAATTTTGTTTAACGCTTAAATTTATAAAGTCCACGCTTCACTATGTAATGCTGAAGTGCATGTATCGTTTGGACCTCGAAATGCACCACAAATGTTGCAAGCACAGGGAACGTGTTAAAGTTCTATCTCCATAGTAGTTACTTTAATACTTATGTTATGTCACTAATTATGTGGTAATATAACACTAACCTGCTTCTAGATAACGGGACTGTATTGCGAGGAGTGTTGAGGAGGGACCAGAATAGGTCACGGTCCATGCGCGTCCGTCGCCTCCGAACTGCCGCTGCTTGCGTAGACGACGGTTGGCCTCCTTATGAAAACAAAAAAGATTACACCACTGTTTTCGTTTTCATGTTAAATATCCTCTTAATAAATGTGTAATTGGTTTCATTGGTGTAAGTAATACCGTAGTAAAGTAGTATCATTACTTGATGGACTACTTGCGTAGTCTACTTCTATTTGCTGGATAGAGCTTGCTTGGTAAATGGAGAACTCTGGACTGGACCAAATTAATCAAGCGACTAAATAATTGTTTCTACTTCCTTTAGATTTGTCAGGCAGGTGTGCTAACGTAAGTTTTTTCCTTAAATTATATTTGATTCATCTATGGTATCTACAGAAGGTATGGTGGCAGCGACATGCTTTACTTAGTAACCAGATCACTGCAAATTTCCTACCCTGTTAGAATAAACTTCCTAAATATAGAATGTTTAACCTATCCATAACTTATTACTTCCTTTAATGGTTTTGGGCTAGTGTCAGTTTAAAAAAAAATAATATAACAATTGTGGCGATCCTCGCTAGTATCAGTTTTCTTCAGTTACTGCAAAGTATCTATTTCAAATTATATTATACATACGTATATAATGTGAATGATTGTACAAGCCCTCGAACTCATCTAAGCCTCTGTGCTTGTCCAAAACTGCACAGAACTGGACAATACAAACGACATTAAATAATTAGGTGTCATATTTAACAAACATCTTAATTTCAAATACCATATTGCAGCGCTTACTTCTGAGTTCGAAAATTGATGTTTTTAAAAATTTTAGATATGCAGCTAGCACCGCCCTTCTGCAATCAGTGCATTTAGCCATTTGTCAATCATTGCTACTTTACTGCATTACAGCCTGGGGCGGTGCACATAAGACCACCGTGATAAACCTGGAAAGAGCGCCGAGAGCTGTTCTTAAAGTCATCAACTTCCGTCCTTTCGATTATCCAACCAGCCAACTCCTAAACGAGTGCGACGTCCTCTCGGTTCGGCAACTGTTTATCCAACAAATAATTTTGAAAAAGCACTCAATTACTCCATTTGATTCCGTTACTTTAACCAACCACAGACGACTCGATACCTTTGCATCTCGTACACAACTCCGCACAGCACACTCGCATAGATTCTTTTGCTTCCTTGGTACATTCCTTTACTTTAAATTAAATTCTAATTTACATTATTTCGCCATGAATAAAATAGAATGTAAATAGAGTACTGGCTGGAAGTTGTTTCATAATTATTTTTATATAGGTAACCATTAATTTATAACTACTAATTATTTTATTGTTATATATAGAAAATCTACTTTTAAGCTGTAGTATAAAGAAATTTGACCGCTTTACTACGAAGAATGTATAATTTAGATTCCCTTCTTAATTCTTATTTGAATACTATAAAAGCTTTATTTACATTTGTTTTACTTGTATTGTATTAGATTAAGTATATTGAAATAAATTTATCTTTATCTTATCTATCTTAGGTTTAGACTTTGCAATATACATAAGTAAAGCTTTCAAATATTTATTTGTAATACAGATTCATAAAGCTACTGTTCAAAAAAACATTTTGAATACTTGATAAGAGCTTACATATACATTATAAGTAAATTTTACACAATTAATTTGCACGTCATTGCATAAGACGTAGACTTGGGAAAATGATATGTACCATAAAGTAGATAAAAATATATAAAATAATAAATGAGGCCATTGCTCACCACTAGTCCCAGGTTCATCTCCCACGCTTGGTCGACTGGTATCCCTAGTGGGGTTGCTCCCTCTCTCAGCGGACTGGTCAGCAGTCGCCTGTACAGTCTCAGGTTCAGGTTCATCATCTGTGATAAACAGTTTGTGCGTGAGTTTCTAAAATACCTGTAATTTGATGCTAAGTAAACGAGTTTGAATCGAAATTCAGTCTGTTAATACAAACACACAACGAAAGACTTTACAATATTATAGATGTTTATTCGTTGATTTATTTACAATACGAATCCGGAACCGGGAATTCCCGGTCCCAAAAGTAGTAGTAGTTACCTGGGTAACGAGAAAACCGGGAATTCAAAATAGTTTCCCGGTTCTTTCGATACTTTCGTTAGTGTAATTTCGGTTTTAATTACGCGCCAAAGGCACGTTGATGTTTGTCGCGGTTGCAACTAATGCACAGGCCAGGGTTCATATGAACTCGTACATTACAAAAATTCCCGCGCCCAGAACGCTTCCGCGGTAGCCTCTGTGTGGCGCTGGCCACGCATAAACGACGATAAATGCAGGCTGGGGAGTGAGTAAAAAACGCTCCGCAGAGATTAAGGTGGTTTTCCAACGCTGAGGCGAACCAAGAATAGAAATCACACCTGCCTATTTCCACCAAAAATTGCCATTAATAGCTCGCACTGTGATTGTGGAGAATGGCAATTCAGAGCGGTTCAGTTCGTTTAGCGATAAATACATGGCTGAAGTGACATGCTCCATAAATTATTATTCTTAAATATATCGTGTTCTTAGGTTTTCGCGATTGTTATACATAGGAGATGAAACTATTATTCCGGATTTAAATCGTGTATATTTGTTTTTAACGTTTCGGGTCCTTTACAAGTCCCATGGTCACGGCTGACCAATGCAAACAAGAATCGCCTCATAGAATTGTGCCTGATCGGTCCTTATAGGGAGCGATCCTCAATCGGTCAACTGAACTAGGTCGGTCTTCTAGTTCATCAAGTTCCTTAGTTCGTCTTGTCCTTGCTCGGACATTGAACGAACGCTCCAAACTAATAATTTTATTCACGTGAACGGACTTCTAGTATTATGAGGTCAATGGTTACTGGTAAGTAAAAGGTACAATAGTACCACCGACTAAATATTTAAAAATACAATTTGTATGGAATCGGTACTATTTGATTTTCCTTCATATTTTACAGGTTTAAAGACTGTAATTCTAACTAAATATCCTTTTTTACAAAACAAGAATTTTAGTTAGAATGGTGTGTTTAAAAATCAATATTTATGTACAACTATTTTATATACTCGTAAACGTAGGTTGATATTATACATACAGATACCTACCACACCTACCAAAAATATGAGGACTTACTTTTTTGCAAGCTTACATATACATATACATAATGTAGATGCGAGCTGTCAACGTTCAATCAAAACGAAGCACTTCGTCAGAATCCATCAACTAGTACGAGAACTATGGCTCACACTCTGAGCATCCCAAGATCGTCTATCCAAGAGCTAATTCACGAGGAAGAATACCACCACGGACATATATCTTATGTCTGTGATACCACGCATATCATATTCAGCGACTGCAAGCTTTACTGCTACAAATTATCAATTGCGGGTTGATTTTTGGCAAATTATGTTGCGAAAACAGCGCGAGGATTTCCAATTTTTTAAATAAAATTTTATGGACTGATGAGACACGATTTGAGCGAACTGGAATATTCAATATTCATAATTAGCACACACACATGGGCGGTTGAAAATCCACACGCGGCGAGACCTTCAAGTTTTCAACATCGTTTAGTGTTTAGATTTTTAATTTAAAGTTGAAAATTCAAATCTGACTGACTGACTCTCTCGAATGCGAATTTTCCACTTTGAGTCAAAACTTTCGTAGCTTCCATTGATATTACGAAATCGATTATTTTGTGCAGTTACAGTACAATTCATAAAGATTGAGTTACAAAAAAAAACCCGAGAAATTGTTGTAAAAATTGAAAAAAATAATTTTTTGAGCCGATTCATGGGGGTGATTCGGATACCCCTCAATGTGAGGCACCTACATTTTTTTTGGACGTCACTATCCCGGCCACCCTGTATATTTAGTTTTAGTAGGTTTAAAATTTTTTTCTAAGTAATTTTTTATTAAAGTTTAAATTACGAAAACAATTTTTTTATTCAATAGCTTAAAATAAAGAACTGAACACTAATTTAAGTTTGAAAGGCTGACTGTATAATAATTTTTAATGATTGCATTTCTTTTAAGATTTAAGATCTGATTGACTGTGATTTTTAGTATAAATTATTTACATAACAATAGTTTTGATGTTGTCTACAGGTTTAAATTACTTTGATTGATTGATTTTAATTTCCGAGAACAAGGAGGCTGAAAAAGTAGGTTTTTTTTATTTTTTATTTTTTTATTGTGACTCGGCAAAATGACTGCACCGCGCCTGATGGAAAGTGCGAATATAGTCCAGAGATGAGAGTAACGGATGGAAAACACAAATATCTTGACTCCGTCACTATCATTTTGCCGGTCTGGCCAAATGCTTCTTCACACTACGTTTGAAGGACCCGATGTTATAGAGGGGAGGGAATACATGCGCCGGGAGTTGGTTCCACAATTTGATGGTTCGGCATAAAAACGAATTGCCAAACTTTTTAGTGCGGGACGGTATTGAACTGACCGTCCAACTGTGGCAACGCAGGCCGGCACGGGTGGTCCGCTGATGGACCACCCATGGAGGAGAGGAAGGGATAAGGTTGAATAACTCTTCAGAGCACTCACCGCTGACTTTTTTTTTTGACTTATTTTTACCTTTACATTAACGCAAGTTGACTTATTTGTACTACATTATTTTCAATGGAAAAAGCTCCAATATGGACAATTTTTACTTATGAAACATATCCCTTTCTTAACCCTTTGAGTACCATTACTCCTACTACTTACTACTTCACTTGTTGTATCACTATTGAAAAACAATTAGCTAGTACCAGAAGTACCAAAACAAACAGGAAATCCCAAATCTGTTGAAGACTAGTACTCAAATTCCCGTTTTTTCAAAACATGCCCGATTCCTGAATCCTTGTTTACAATAGACTCCAAAAAGCCAGTTGGATATACACTCTATATGTCATTCCAATTGTTCCTATATGTAATGTGACAAAATAGCTTGAATTTAAATTAGCTCTAATAACATAGTCAGTGTTGAAGTTATCACTTTTAACAGTGGTTGTATTGCTACACTCTCATCAGGAACCAAAAGATTGTATGAAAAAATTTATATAGATTGTATGAAAAGCATTTTACTAAATTTAAACGACTCTGCTGTCCCAATTTTTTTCTTCAAATTAAATGATCCTTACATGAAGCTGAGTTAATCGGCACTAAAAAAATAACCAAATTTTTTAATTTTTATGGACGCTTGACCAAAAAATGTACTATGCCAAAATTGTTTTCACAAAAAAAGACTTAATAATTCCTACGAAAATTTCACTGTATCTCCTATAGTTTTGGATTTCCCCATACTGTCCCAGTTAAGAAAACACAGTGTATATATATATTTATTGAACAAAGAAAACAAATTTCTAATGATGGATAAAAAAATCTATTGATCACACTACAATAAAGATGGTGATGATGATTGTATATAAACAATTTGATGACCACACAAAATAAATGTGTACAATGTGTAATAAACATATAGGTAATAAACATTTATTTGTTGGGGCTATCAAATTGCACATATTATGTTAGCTGGAATATATTGCAAACTTAATGCTACATTAGAACCATTCAGCATAGGCAAAATTGAACACAATATACTTGTAGGCACTATAGACAGCAAACATTCAAACCATATTTGCAAAAATGAGCAATTACTTCTGTGTACCATTTAGGTTCTCGGGTTTCTCTCAGATTAAAGTTTAAGGAGACTGGTATCATATCTGTGGCATCACAGTACATTTACTCAAATATTTTATTTGCCCGTAAAAATATAGGTACATAATTTCAATAAGAAAGAGATATCCATAATATTAACCTTAGAGCTAATTCCAAACTCATGGTACCATGACTTTATTTAACCAATGACATTGTCTCTTTTAAGGGGAACTGTGTATGTTTTTACAATAAGAGAGCATATATTAAGATTATCATTTCCTAAGTTTAAAAACTACATTAAGAATATTTTGATTGAAGTCATATTACAAAATTGAAGACTACATGTTAGATAAAGATGTATGGAAAGACGACATGGCTCTAGATTCCACACAAATTTCATTCAAAGTATACTCCATAGCATTTAAGTTCATTTGAAAAGAGCAATCCCTAGAGTTTCTTGCTCATTCTTCTTAGGAAAATCAACACAGTGAACGAGCCGTAGCTTATATTTGACTTTTTCAAGTGTAATTTATTTTACCTATGAAAAAAAGAATAATAGAATTTACAATGTGTTTTATTTTATTTTCTTTGAACAATAAAACATGCTATAAAACGATTATAGCAAAGAAGATTAATATCATGTAAGTGAAGTATTATAGCAAAAGTTTATGTAATAAAAAGATCCCTGCAAGTTAACAATAATTAATGCAAATAGGTACCTATAAGGATTTATGTAATACTGTGCAATATGTTGAACAGTTTTGGAGTAATAATAATTATTAATTTACGTTTCCACTAATTATAAGATTACAGGTCACACTCATATATGCTGACATTATGTTATTTGCGTATTCTCTACACAATATGTACGTATATCAACTTCAATGAGCTAGATTTTATATATTATATATGATGTAGATATTTTGAATCTCTTAGAACACCTCTAGGATGGGAGCCACGGACATTTGATCTTCAGTAAAATGCTAAAAGGCAACAATATAACTAAACAGATGGTAGCTACCTGAACTCCAAGGGTAGTCTGTAATTCCCAGGGACTTTTTCAAACTCTCCTTTCTATTACTCATGTCACTAGCAAGTGATTGTCAACGCACTGCCGATGGTATGATGTATGTATCACTAGTTATAGTGATTTTCTGTTTGGTAAATTCACAAAATTTACATTTCTCAAAGTATGTAAAACAGCCCGAATTAATATGCTCAACGACAATCAAAGGCGATAATTTTTTTTTTATTTCTTACTTTACACTGAACTGATGAACTCCGCTATGGGTCCTATTGTTTATTGACACTTGACATTGACCATTCACATTTCTTTTTTAGTATTTTCGGCGTGGATACAAGTAAAAGCATAATTAAGCATATTTTTCCGGATATTTTCCAATACATTTCTTCTATGTTTCCATATTTAAAGTTAATCCTTGTCATAAGTGGAAGTTACTGCAAAAACGATGGAATCATTAAATGGTGGTGTGGTTGTTGGAGGTTTTTCACTGTTGTGAAATTATTTTAAGGGTCGTATTCTAGAACTCTACTCAATGCTCAAATTAGGATTTAGTATGGTTTAAAGCACTCGAAATCATGCTCAAGTCCCTGCCATAAAGGCATTAAGGTCGCATTTCCAGTGCTTGTGTTGCCAGTGCAATTTTATTTTTTTTGACGGGGGGAAATCTTTATGGACACCCCTGAGCCCAGGGAGACTCAGGGGTTATGTGAGGACTCTCCCTCCAGACTGGAAGACCTACCCCACTAAAACCCCCCCGGGTTTCCCTCCCGCCGGTTGAGTCGGCGCCGTGGGATCGGTGAGCATTCACCACGACGCCGACGCCCCCTAGCTTGCGCCAGGGCTCCCGCGCCAACGGAGAGGCGAGTCGGTTGTCCCCCAGACGAGTGAGGCCGTGCAATGCAGGCTCCGAAGTCCCTGTCCAGAGCCCGCTGGCCTCACTCCGCATTGAACATTGAATAGAGTTCTAGAATACGACTCTAGAACTCTATTCAAAGCTCAAGTCAGGACTTGAGTATGATTCAAAGCACTAGAAAGTTGAGTAGAGAGAGAGTGTTCTGGAATACGACCCTGAGTGTCGTAGGGTCGTATTCCAGAACTGTACTCAATGCTCAAGTCAGGATTTGAGCAGACTCGAGTATGATTTCAAGCACTGGAAATACGACCCTAATGGCAAGGACTTGAGTATGATTCTCAGTGCTCACAGCAATACTCAAGTTCTGATCTGAGTATTGAGTAACGTTCTAGAATACGACCCTTACATCTTGTTTTCCATACGTAGGCCAATAGTATTCTGTGTGCAGGATAGTGTGTGAGCAGTTTCCTGCCTGCGCAGCGGACTGCCATGCAGGTATTGAATGGGCCGTTTTAGCCACCACCTCTTGTTGGCTCCATCGTTTTCGTTCAGTGACTTCAACTTTGGTCAGGTGTCAACGTCATACGCGCAAAAATAAAGGAAAAATATTTATTTTTTCAGAAAATATTATTTTTTCAAAATGGAAATTCTTCCATGACCCAAGACTACTTTACAAAACTTTTACTATGTAGGGCATTGACTTACAATAAAGTCAATGATGTAGGGTTTACGTGTGCTTGTTGCCAGCACCAATAAACAAAAAAAAAACCTGTGGCCTTGGCGTGTGCGGCCAAGTTTGTGAGTGCGGCGGCCGGCGAAATTTTATCGGCGGCGCAGCGAGTTGAGACTTGTTTTCGGGGATTGTTTGTATCAGTCGATCGGGTCGTCAGTTTTGGTCAGTTTCGTGGCCGTTGTATAACTAATCATAAATTTTGCACATTATCGTTTGTTGTTATTAAGTTTCATATATAAAAATGACAGATTTACCTTTTCAAGTCGAATATGCGAAGTCGGGAAGAGCGTCATGTAAAGGTTGTAAGCAGAAGATCGACCAAGGTGTACTCAGACTTGCCATAATGGTTCAGGTGAGTATAAAATGAAAAGCTATTTAAAATTAAGTAAATGTTTACTTAATGTTTGTATAATTTCTTTTGGAAAATGATACTAGACTTGCTAGATGATAAGTAAAGGTTCTTCCATAAATTGCGAAAAATTCATCTGGAATCACAGCTAAATAAAAATATTATACAGACGTAGTGGTACCGACCGTTAAAATCTATGCTGATTTGCTACTCAAGGTCGTAAGTAACATGTATGGGAGCTCGCTTGACCGAATGATGGTCAAATATTAATAAGTATAATAAATTATGGAATGGATGATCCGATCTTTCTTAAATGTGGTAGATTTGTGCCTGTTCTGCTCAGGAGCGATTCCAATTTGTTCATTTGGACAAATGATAGAATTCAGTCGTTTAGTTCCTTTTATGCTTGTATAGTTCATGAACTACAAACTATTGGGAATTTATTACCAACACTGACTGACATGAACTAGTTCATCTTGCAAGGTCTTATCATTTCTTTGGTCTTTTTAGTTCAATACAAACTAGCAACTGTCTGTGTTGATAGTTCACCTATCTTTTATTCAGTAGGAATGGAGTGAGTGGGGCAATTAGTGATCTTTCACCACTTTTAGTACAAGTTCGAGCCAATTCATTTTAAGTGTAATATATATCTACAATATGTAAGCTTTTAAAAAAAGTAAGTGTTCATATTATTTGGTAGGTATCTGTATGTATAATATCAACCTACGTGTATTTGAAATCATTGTAAATATTGATTTTAAACTCATCATTCTAACTAAAATATATATTATTATATATGTTTTGTAAAAAAAGAACATTTAGTTAATTCTAACAATGAGTCTAAGGGTCGTATTCTAGAACTCTACTCAATGCTCAAGGCAGGATTTGAGTATGGTTTAAAGCACTCGAAATCATACTCAAATCCCTGCCATTAGGGCCGTATTTCCAGTGCATGAAATCATACTCAGATCCTGACTTGAGCATTGAGCAGGTCAGGACTTGAGTATGATTCAAAGCACTATAAATCATACTCAAGTCCTTGCCATTAGGGTCGTATTTCCAGAGCTTGAAATCATACTCAAGTCTGCTCAAATCCTGACTTGAGCATTGAGCAGAGTTCTGGAATACGACCCTTAAACCTGTAAAGTATGAAGGAAAATGAAATAGTACCAATTCCATTCAAATTCTATTTTTAAATATTTAGTACAGTGTACTATTGACCTCATAATTCTAGAAGCTGGTAATAGTTGATATGAATAAATTTAGATAATTTGGAGAGTTTGGTCAATGTCCGTGCAAAGACAAGACGAACTAATGAACTAAGAATATATATATATATATGTACAGGGTTACAGGAAAAGTCGTGCTAGATCCGTTAAGGGCGTGGAG